CAGTAAATGACTTACAGCTCACTCACTCTATCTGAAAACTGGCTCACTTTACTCAGAGGGACATGTATCAATCAGTAAATGACTTACAGCTGAGAATTTCCTTAGGTACTGTCCCATCTCTATGATGGACTGTGAGCTGGTCTGTGTAGAAAAGACATCATCTTGCTGACTGGACAGCGTACCCTGCGAGGGCTCCAGCAGCTGTCGATACATTTCCTGGTACAGTTCCTTGATTTTCACTTTGTCCTGTTTCTTCTTCTTTAGCATCCGTAACATATCATTACCCCAGTCCTACAACAAGGGCTAAAGACTATATAACAAGACAATATCAATCTCTATAATCAGGTAATAGACAATCTTTTTAACAAAGCAACAGACAATCTCTTTAATCAGGTAAAGGACAATATCTATAATCAGGCAAAAGGCAATCTCTTTAACAAGGCAACAGACCATCTCTATAACAAGACAATAGACAATCTCTCAACAAAGCAACAGACAATCTCTATAACAAGACAATAGACAATCTCTTTACACAAAGCAACAGACAATCTCTATAACAAGACAATAGACAATCTCTTTACACAAAGCAACAGACAATCTCTATAACAAGACAATAGACAATCTCTATAACAAGGCAACAGACAATCTCTTTAATCAGGTAAAGGACAATATCTATAATCAGGCAAAAGACAATCTCTTTAACAAAGCAACAGACAATCTCTATAACAAGGCAATATACAATATCTATAACAAGCCAATAGACAATCTCTATAATCAGGCAATAGACAATATATATAACAAGGCAATAGACATTCTCTATAACAAGGCAATAGACAATCTCTATAACAAGGCAATAAACAATCTCTATAACAAGGCGACAGACAATCTCTATAACAAGGCAATAGACAATCTCTATAACAAGACGACAGACAATCTCTATAACAAGGCAATAGACATTCTCTATAACAAGGCAATATACAATATCTATAACAAGCCAATAGACAATCTCTATAATCAGGCAATAGACAATATATATAACAAGGCAATACACATTCTCTATAACAAGGCAATATACAATCTCTATAACAAGGCAACAGCCAATCTCTATAACAAGGCAACAGACAATCTCTTTAATCAGGTAAAGGACAATATATATAACAAGGCAATAGAAATCTCTATAACAAGGCAATAGACAATCTCTATCACAAGGCAATGGCCAATATATATATAACAAGGCAATAGACCATCCCTATAACAAGGCAAAAGACAATTTCTATAAAAAGGCAACAGACAATCTCTATAATCAAGCAGTTGACAATCTCTATAATCTGGCAATAGACAATCTCTACAAGAAGAGGCCCAACGGTCTTGCATCGCTCGTCTGGTATGTATCTCCCATATATAACCTTCAAAGTGGACCAAGGTCAAATAAGATTACCTATGACTCTTGATCATTCAGAAGTACCTGCTAAATGATTTTAATACATTTGACCTTAAAAGTGGGTCAAGGTCATTTGGTTTAACAAACTTTGTAGCGCCTCCTCCAGACAAACTACTGGACAAAAATCATCACACAGGGCGTTTTGGTTGCATAGAAGATTTTTTTAAACATTGACTCTTGTGACCTTGGTTAAGGTTATTTATTTGAACAAAACTTTGTAGCCCTTTATCCCACCACTGGCCAAATGTCAACATTTTCTGGGTATTGAGAAAAATTTGTTTAAAGGAAATAGTTGATGCTGGATGGACAACAGACTCAGCACCACTGCATAATCTCACTTGGTACATTGGGCCAGGTGAGTTAGTAAAATATATCTGCTGAGGGGTGCATGAGATATCTCAAAGAGACCACTATGTACCCACTTTACCTAAGTATAACAAGGCATCATAAGTGATACAAATCCCCTCGCATTCACACATTGTGACATTGGAAATGAAGTGGCTAGAGCGATGACAAAGTTTTTTTTCTAAAAATAGTAACAGTGACCTTGACCTTGACCTTAAACATAGAAACCTGAAACGAGAACTCTAAACACTGGTATCAAGTTTCATGAAATTTCATTGAGGAATAATGTCGGTAGAGCGATGACAAAGGTTTTCTAACAATAGTAAAAGTGACCTTGACCTTTAATGCAGTAATCTGAAACACAAATTTGTTCAAGGCACTGCCATACCAAATACTTGTAAGGAGTTTCATGAAATTCTGTTGAGGAATGAAGTAGGTAGAGTGATGACAAAGATTTTTCTAAAAATAGCAAACGTTAACAGTGACTGTGAACTTCAACATAGAAACCCGAAATGCAAACTTGTTCAAGGTATTGTCATACTTGACAACTTAACACTTGTATGAAGTTTCATGAAATTCCATTGAGGAATGAAGTTGCTAGAGCGATGACAATGAGTGTAACATACATACGGGCGGAATCTTATATCCCCTCAAACTTTTGTTGTGAGGGAATAATTAAAGGCTGTAGGATAAAGAGAAAACAACAAATTGTACAAGTTAATATTAAATAAAAATATTAATTATTTATAGGGTCTGTGGTGGCAAAGTGGTTAAGGCATTTGACCATTTCAACCACCTAAGCCCTCCACCAGTGGGTCGCGGGTTTGAGGCCTATGTCAGGCTGTCACCAAGTACTGGCTGCAGGTTGGTGGTTTTTATCTGGAAACTTTGGCTTTCCTCCGTCACAAAAACCTGGCATGTCTGTATAGCTATAGATAGGACATAAAACACAAACAAATAATAATGTTTATGATCTACCTTGAATATTTGGTCTGGCTGTCCAAATTGTTCCAAGGCACAGATGAATTTGGATACCAACGGGACATTCTCTTCATTCAGCAGGTTGGCTAGTCTGTAAAATATATAAGGACGTGTGTCATATCTCACTATGATTTTATAAAGTTTTCCCTGTGTTATTTTCATTACCTGCATTAGCACTTATGCATACAAATAAGAGATCCCACAGGAATCTTAGCACCCATCATTGTATGATCTCATTAGTTCTATGCTGTATCTTTAACTTATGATTACAATGTTGTATGGCTAGGGATGACAGTGTCTTCATTTGACATATTTATTACAAAGTTCTGTGTAATATAGATATAAATTAAGAGACATTTCCATTTTCTAGGGGCTGTATTTTTCTTCTCATCAAGCGACTTGAAGCTCAAAACAAAACATGCAAAACTAGTAAACAGGAAGAACTTACTTATACAAGGAAATCTACAAATGTGTTTTGTTGTAAATAGTGTACATTTTATCATGATTGACCATATGTTAGACGAGTCTTTGACTCAATATGTCATCAAGTTGAAATAAGGACTATTATGATTATTATATGACATTTGAGGGAGATCTGTCATGTACTACTTCAGAAATAGTGACAACAAACATGAACTGTCCCACACTACTAGGAGTTTTGTTATAGAGGGACCAATTCGTCACACTTTACTGAAGATGTTTGTAATAGTGACTGACACAGATTGACTTTTCTAGAAATGTTCGTAAAAAGTACCTGACAGCGAACAGCATAAATATATAGCTATTTTTATACAGAATAATCACCCACCTCTCCACCATGGCCTTATTCTTCTTATCATGAGGCTTGTCCCCAAACTGGAAGCCTTCCTGACTGAGCTTGAAGTGATAAACAACGGCCTGCAAACAAATTAACTGCATGTTGTATAATCAATGTATCTGCATACAAATCAGTGATGTATATCATACAAGTCAACAAGAATACTGACAGGTCAGTAACAGCCAAGCCATGTACCTGGCTGTAACCACATGTTTCACTTCAGTAACAGTGACCTTGACCTTAGAAAATGTTTAAACCCTTATAAACATCTACGTATAACAGTGTATCACCATGTCAAATCTAAAAAAGATTAGTCTTTTGGAACCTATGATAAGACACCACCCCCACCCACCCCCAATCCCCATTCGGTCCTGATCTTCTATTAGTACCCATGATCCTGGTTGCCTGACTGAGTGTATAAGTTTGCCTACATTGTACCAGAGTGTATAAGTTTGCCTACCTGAGAGTAATCACATCCTACCATAGGGTAATGATGTCCTACCTGAAGTTACATCACATCCGACCTGAGGGTAATGATGTCCTACCTGAGNCATCACATCCTATCTGAGGGTAATGATGTCCTACCTGAAGTTACATCACATCCTACCTGAGGGTAATGATGTTCTACCTAAAGTTACATCACATTCTACCCGAGGGTAATGATGTCCTACCTGAAGTTACATCACATCCTACCTGAGGGTACATTGTTGCAATTTTTAGTAGCACAGGTTGAACAGCAGGAGCCTCAGGCTTGTCCATCAGGGCCATCATCTGACTGATCCACAGGAGGTACATCCAACAGGGCACCTCCTCACACTGTCAAAACAATTCCTTACATGTTCATATATTGTTGCCCAACTAATAAATATACATCTATTTAAAACAAGAATGCTGTAATTAGTACATAATATGTTTGCAACAGTTGAAATTTTCTTACTTGTAGAAAGCTATAGTTAGTACACGATAGTAATGTAATGTATCACCATAAAGGAAACATATTTATGAGAGTTTGATGTTTTGAAAATATTTTTATAAATCTTTACTATAGGCCTATGTATGGTTGGACAGATTAGCTGATTTCGGTTTATCTCTTAACCTTATTGTGGACGTATAACAGCCTTGTTACGTTTTGTGAATGTGCGGTTATATATACTACAGTTACAGAACAGAAACATGCCTGTTTACTGACAGACAAAACATAAGGCTATACATGACCTACTGAAGGCAGATCTCCCTAAAGGCTGAACTACTAAAGTTTTCCTAAATAAAATAAGTAATGGAAGTCCATGTTTAATAACTGACTTGGTGCCCGTGTGTGCAGGTTTGGGAAAGTTAACAGCCTGCTCCAACACACTACATATGATCCTAAAATGTGACTGATGTTGGCTCTCCTGCAGAATCAGGTTATTTTAATTTGGAGTCCACCGTTAAGGGGATACTGAAGAAATCAAAAAATGATCTGCTGCCTCCATTGTAACACTTGGGGTCCTTTTTTTCTCCCCTGCCTTCTCTTTCTTTCATTTTGTGTATCTCTCTAGGCATTTGTCTTCCTATTATCTTAGCTGATGCAAGGATGTAAACTCAAAACATACACACAATCAAACAGACAGACCTTGTCTACAAATGTGCCCATACAGTCGGGGTAATGCTCCACCAGCTGAAGAAGACGAGGAAACCTCTGTTTGGCCTCCATAGAGTCAAATCGCATGGCGTTGAGCAGACACACGACCACAGTATCCGGGAATGTCTTGATTGTAGCCTTACTCAGCTCCAGTTCATCTGAGAAATCAGATACAATATAACAATATGCATGAGATTTATATATATTCAGAACATTTTCTAGAAATCATAGAGAAAAAGAATTCAAGATTCAAGTGACTTCACAGGAGACATGGCACCTTTACAAATACAACAGGAGTTGAACTTTTACAACTATAGTAGTATAAATCTGATTAAAAAACTAAGCAGCAATGCACCGTAAAAACTTGCTTTCAGATGAACACACATCCCAATAACAGTATACTCCCCTATAACGTACCATCCTCCACCATCCTAAGGATCCTGTCACAGAACTTGGCGACTGCCATGAACGCCATATCTCTGGTATAGCCAGTCTGTTTGGAATTCCTGTCATCTTCGTAGTGTAGCGACTTCTTCATGTTCTCAAAGCCTCGCTTAACAAGACTCTCTATCAGCTACAAAATTGAGGTTTTTGAAGTAAAACCAATTTTCATGATGTAATANAACAGCAATTTCAAACAGACTCTTGACAAACATTTTAAAAGATAAAACACCCTTAACCATCATTAACATAAAACATGCCCTAAACAGCAATTTACAGAACAAAAACATTCTCAACCGTCATTTACATACCAAAAACAGGTTCTAACCAGCAATTAACAGAAAAAAAACAGATTTGACATTTTCAGACCAGAAACAGGTCCTAAACAGTCAATTACAGAACAGAAAGCAGGTCCTGAACAGTCAATTACAGAACAGAAACAGGTCCTGAACAGTCAATTACAGAACAGAAACAGGGCCTGAACATGTACAGACAATTACAGAACAGAAACAGGACCTGAACATGTACAACAGTCAAATACAGAACAGAAAGCAGGTCCTGAATATGTACAACAGTCAATTACAGAACAGAAACAGGGCCTGAACATGTACAGTCAATTACAGAACAGAATCAGGTTTTGACCAGTCAATTACAGAACAGAAACAGGGCCTGAACATGTACAGTCAATTACAGAACAGAATCAGGTTTTGACCAGTCAATTACAGAACAGAAACAGGGCCTGAACATGTACAGACAATTACAGAACAGAAACAGGACCTGAACATGTACAACAGTCAAATACAGAACAGAAAGCAGGTCCTGAACATGTATAGTCAATTACATAACAGAAAGCAGGTCTTGAACAGTCAATAACAGAACAGAAAGAGTTTTTTGTTTTGAAATTAAAACATGCTCTAAGTCTTTTGATCCTCTAGCAGTTTTGGATTTTACGTATATATTTATAGTCAGGGAAACCATTTCCTGGTAGGTTATTTTTAAATGTTTAACACCATCTGGTGGGTTTTCCCTGTCGATGTACTTTTAGCGACAGGTATCTTGTGCAACTGGTTTGACTACTGGCCTTGACCCTAAGCTTATTGGTATGCAGGGGTCAGTAGGAGGGACATACGAGGGTGACGCTAGTGTTTTGCGGGATATAGTAAGCTAGCTGGCTGTCAAGTTTTGACCTTGGAACTGTAAGCCAGGAAAGACTGTATGGAGACTTGTTCGGGGGTAAGTTGTTGGGCCTGGGGAGTAGGGCTAGGATAAAAGTACTGTAAGGGGACTGTCTCAATTTGTATTTTGTCATGTGTTAGTCTATGCTGTATAATATCGCTAGTGTCGTGTATAATAAACCTTTCATAAACTCCACTATATTTGTTTGTTAAGTTGGCATCATATCATATATGAACCTGAAGGGCGGACCTAGAAAAATAAATTGCCACTTCATGATTAACTTTTACAATCCTTTAGAAAAAATGATAAATTTCTGTTTGATTTATTTCAACTCTTTTTTGTTAAGGTTGTAATTGTCATCATACTATGATCTAAACATGCTATTGATTCCGACATTATATCTCCTGTAGTCACAGAACTGGATTACTGAATTCCTCCCACTATTGTTCAAAAACATAATCAAAGTTCAAACTGAGCATTTTAAAAAATAAACGAGTGTCAATCTAAATCTGCTTTTATTGTTTTACCTCTGTCTCGTCTATCTTGCTAACCCCTGTAATATCCATCAGTCTCTGTCTGTTCCTGTCACCAAGACAACCCAAGCCACTGACTGATCGTATACCATCTACCAACAGCTCATGTGTCTGTCCCAACAACACAAAATGGTGGCGACCAAAGGCTGGGGTCTCCTCCAGGGTATCACTCGTACTGTTTTTACCTGAAGTAGAAAGGCAGCAGACATTGTTTCACATTCTTTTATAGTCATATCATGTCTTTCACACTTTATTTTCAGTACCTAGTCAAAGAAATCAAATCAAATTTCTGAATATTTTATTCCTAAACACCCAGTTTTTTTTCTCCACCTGCCCATAAAAGAGCCCTAACAAATAGCAGTTCCCAGATCCACTGTGGTATGATGCTAGAGAAGGGGTTGGTGTGCACAATACTTAGAAATCCATTCTGGAGATGATGCTCGTGAAAGATTTGTGTGTCTAGTACTTACCAAGCAGATCCACGGTGGAGGTGATGCTGGTGAAGGTGTCATCGGTCCAGCTGGACTGGACACTCTGTGCCCTCTTGTGGTGTGTACTGGTATACAGATGGCCCCACTTTACCCACAGTCCAACACTTCCACTACTCTTACATTGCTGTAACAGATACATTTAACTTCACAGTCCAGCACTTCCACTACTCTTACATTGCTGTAACAGATACATTTAACTTCACAGTCCAGCATTTCNGGTTCAGAGGAAGCAAGGCTTCCCAATCCCTTGAAGAAGGGACCCAGTTGGCAAGGAGAAACATCTGGAGAGGCCTGATGTGAAGTCTCCCTAAGGGGACCACATCGGCCAGGGCGTTGAGATATCCCAGAAAACTGAGAAACCAACGTACCTGGACTTGAGACCGGCCGATAAAGGTCAGAGCAAAAGCCCTGGCCTTCTCGAACTTCTCCATCGGTGGAAGGGCGATGCCCTGAACCGTATTGAAACGGTTCCCCAGAAAAACAAAATCCTGAGATGGGGAAACCTCCGACTTTTCTCTGGAAGGAATGAAGCCGACCTTGAGTAAGAGTTTCAGAACCAACCGGGTGACCTGTACCAGAGACTCTCTCACTAGGTGGAGCATGAGGGAGTCGTCGAAATAGATGTGAACATCTATTCCTCGAGAGTGCAGGAATCCCACGACCACCTGCAGCAGCTTGGTGAAAACCAAAGGTGCAGTCGTGAGCCCGAACGGCATGGCCCGGAACTGGAAGACCTTTCCGTTGCAAGTAAAACGGAGGTACTTCCGTGCCGACTTCTTGATGGGGATGTGGAAGTAGGCGTCCTTTAGATCTACTGAAGTCGCCCACATTCCCTCTCTCACGGAGGCGATAATACCCCGAGGAGTCTCCATCTTGAAGTGAGGAGAATCTACGTGCTTGTTGAAGGCACTTAGATCTATGATGGGACGCCACGCCCCGGACTTCTTCCGAACCAGAAACATTCTGGAGTAGAACCCGGGAGTGCATCCCGACATAGGAACCTCCTCGACCGCGCCCTTGGAAAGCATGGTCCTTACTTCCTCCTGGAGCGCCAGAGCCTTTTCCGGATCCCCCGGTGGAGGAAAAAAGATTGGCTCTGACGCTAAGGGCGGATCCCGCACTAGCGGAATGCCTAACCCCTCCTTGATCACAGACAAGGTCCATGCGTCTTCCGTAATTTCCTTCCACTCTGGAAGGAAAGCAGAAAGACGACCCCCCACAGGAAGATCTGGTCGAGGCAGATCGAGACCTTGCCAGGCAAGAGAATCGTCTGCTGACCCGAAGCCTAATCCTGCGGGAGAAGGACCTAAGCTTGAGCCGAGAGGACTGCATTCCTCCCGGCCAAACTCGTCGTCTGACACGACCAAGGAGGGAAGAAAAGAGTCAGGAACCCTTCTTCTTACCCCCAGGAGGGTTCTTACCCTTCTTACCCTTCCATTTGTTGCCCTTGAAGGGAGGCTTATACTTGGGCTGCGCAGAGGACTGCGAAGCCGAAGGTTTAGCCTTCTTCTTAGGAGGCGCTGACCCCTGCGAGGTACTGGCCTTCTCAGCCTGAATCCTCTTCACCAGAAGTGCAGAGGCGACCGAGTCCTCCTTCAAATCCTTCTGAACAGAAGGAAGGGCCCCTCCAAAAAGAGTGGACCCTGAGAAGGGGGCAGTCAACAGTCTGGAACGGTAAGGCTCATCGACCGGGCGATTTTTCAAAACTGAAAACCGCCTAGCCAACAAGACATTGACGAGGGATGACACCTGTAAAGCTGCCAGCGCTCTCAATGCCCCGTTCAGGGCAGAGGTCACTCTGTCCTGGATGTCGGCCTGCTCTGTCTCGGTTATCCGACCCTCAGGCAAGTCGGATACCCTATATAGACAAACCGTCAAGTAGTCTATATACGACAGAATCTGGATGGAGAGACGCAGCAGTCTCTCCATCTTGTGGTGTTCTTTGGGACCGAACACCACCTGGTCCACCGATTTACCGGGCCAAGCTGCAAGTTCCCTCGATTCCAGCTTAGCTGGTTGAGGGGCAAGCAGACCATCATGTGTGGCATAGTCAGTGGCGTGCACCTCTGACAAATCGCCAACACTGAGCTGCAACCCAGCATACCCAGGACTACGGGTTGAAGAAGAATTCTTCCCTAAAACCCGAGACTGGGCGGTGGCCAGAGCTGAAGACACAATGGTGCCTTCTGGCAGAGAGCGGTCCGACCGAGCGGACACCCGAGGAGCCACCAAAGAACCCAAAAGGGTGGTGGACTCGGGGACAGATGATGCCGAAGGTGGTGGGCAAACCTCCTCCCCAAGAATCCGGGAAACGTCAGCCCTAACCAACACTGAGCTGCAACCCAGCATACCCAGGACTACCTCAGCAGCCTCAGGGTCTCCCTCATCCTGGAAGTCCTCCTCTGAGGGCAAGCCCTCCTGAGGACTGTCGTTAGACGACTCGGAAAGACCAGCGTCTATATCCGAACAACCAGGTGAAAGATGAACAACATCATCGTCCTCTGCCATACCCGCGCCCTCAACGTCCATAGCCTCCATCCCATCCAGACCAAAAGCCTGGGGCGGAGGAAATGGGCCAGCCAGAGGGGCCAACCCGAGAGAAGACTCCCCGTACCGGCGTTTAGGTGCAGTGCGCCTAACGGCCGTGGCTGTAGGTTTAGGCTTAGTAGCCAAAACCCTACCCTTGGACCCAGAGACCAACGAGCCTGCCCGAGAGGCAGAAGTCCTAAAGGTCCGACACACCTTCTTAGGACCGGCCGATAAGGCCCCCGAAGTAGCAGAAAGTTGGGGGGGG